TACTGAATGTGGGAAAATTGTACTGAACCTGACAATGAACAATGGAGCAGATGGTGTCCCTGCAAAACGTTCGATAATGTACGTGTGCGTGCACTGGAATCAGTGACTCTAAGTAGGACAACCTAAAAAGGTATGCCACTTATCCTGTGGACGAGTAGGACTTTACAGTTCTTTTAATAATCTCTTTATCCTGAGATTTCTCCTTTGACCCTGATTTCAAAAGCAGGAGGTCAGTCTGGCCGACTAACTGCAGACCTCTAATTGAAGTCCAGATATGTCCCGCGTGAACTGCTGTATCCCACTCTGCACACTCACACTGGGTTGCAGCCTGAAAGCTGCTCCTTTTGTAATTGATCATACCCGTGAAAATTAAATGAACATTTGGTGGTAGGCATGTTTTCAGAGAAGAAGGAAAATACTGTTATGTAAAGTGTAATAACATTTTGATACCAAGTGTAGAGGCATTCCTTGCACAAGGGAGGCGAGTGTGGAAGCGTACGCTCTGGTTCCTAAAGACAGTCCAAAGCTCAAAGTTAATACTTTTCTTACACAGAGATTTATTTTTCTTTTCGAAAGCTAGTTTTAAATGTTAGGATTTTTTTTGTGTGTGGGAAAGGTATTAATTTAATTTTTTTAACCAGCTGCTATTTTAAGATTTCCCCAGTGTAGCCTTAGAAAATGAAGAGTACATCTTTAAATCTTGTTTTGTTTGAATGAATGGGTAGATAATCCTGATCAGATGTTTCTTTAGAGAATAATGTTTAAAACGATTATGGAACTTAGCTGTCCTGTCTGTTTCCTAGGTACAGTATTTTCATTTCAATTGTGAAGTCATTAGGGGTCATCCAAGGTAACGGTTTATTAAAATAGTCCTCTTTTGTTTCAGATTTCCTGTTGAGATGCTTTAACATGTAAAAATCTCCCTGCTGATGTGTCATGTTAGCTTTCCTAACCTCTAGATAGAAACCACAAAGCAGCCTACATAGCTGTATGACTAGTTACCCACCTACATAAACAATAATTACTGCTAAGTGGGAAATTAGATGTCACATTTTAAGTCTAAATGAAGGTAAAGTATTTGAGAATACTGTCATTAAATGCTTAAAGTTAATCGCAGTTCTCTCACTCTGTTTGTTTTGTAGGACATTTGGGCTTCCAGGACAGTTTTGTCACATCAGGTGTTTTCAGTGTGACTGAGCTAGTAAGAGTCTCACAAAGTAAGTATCCTTTTGTGGCTGGTTTATGTGGTTTCTGCAATCCCAGTTTTTTCCTTTGATTCTTATTGTGCCCCTTCCCCAGTTCAGAAACAGCGTCTTGAAAACTGAGAGTCTCTTCTCCCCGTTTCTCGCCAGTGGACAATTTTTATGTGCCACATCTTCTAATGTGGGAAAATAAAATAGCATAATTTTAAAAAGTAAACAAAAAAAACTTAATTCTGCCAACTTGCATGTGCAAGTTGTTAAGCTCATCCGGTAACCAGCTGAAAATGGGCAGACTCTGTATAAGAGTGCAGATAAATGCCTACAAAGATCAGCTTACCTAGTGGATCCCTTGCAAGATCCAAGGACTGTATTTTAGCCAGACCTCTAGAAATGACATGACCTATACACATAAGCCTGGAAATTTTCTTATGCCGCTTTTCCATGTTGTATTCATCCATGCCATGCATACATATGTTTGTACACCTGCAAATTGATGGACTCGCTAATAATGCCAACAACTGTACCAACTTCAGCTCCGATAATCTCGGTTGTGCAGAGGCACACATCCTGACTTTGCAAGGCCTGCGTTTCCCATTAACTGTATGGAATTCTATCTTCTAGAATGATTTTGGTTTTGACCTTTAAAGAATGCTAATGCCCCCAGCATGAATGACACACTGCGGCATGATCATTACAGACTTGTCGATACTCGCTAACAACAGTAAATTAAGAGTACCTGTCACCACCCTGTTCCATTGATCAAAGGTGCATTGATTGTATTTTGCTATGACATAATCCAGATAGTCCAAGGAGAGCGTGTGGACAGGCTCTTGCAGAAAGACTACTGGTAAGCCAGGGCCGTAGGTACTAGTCCTTTGGGGATCTTCTGAGCTAGTGTAGAGCTATGCAGTAACATCACATTGTCACCAATTGCCACTGCTCCAGGTGAACCACTCAACTATGTGCCCCTTTAAAACCTTAGGGTTTGTAACCGATCTCCGTAGCACAGCCAGTGATA